TGGAGGCGATGGGAGAGGGGGAGGATTATGGAGAGGGCGTGGAGGCGAAGTGAAAAGGACGGAGATGGAAGAGGTGGCAGTGAGGAAGAGTGGTGGAGGCGGGAGGTGTTATCCTATACCTCCAAGGGAATTAGGCAGGGTGCCGAGTGGTCTTAGGAACCATCAGAGAGAGAGAGAGAGAGAGAGAGAGAGAGAGAGAGAGAGAGAGAGAGAGAGAGAGAGAGAGAGAGAGAGAGAGAGAGAGAGAGAGAGAGAGAGAGAGAGAGAGAGACGAGAGAGAGAGAGAGAGAGCGCGAGAGAGAGAGAGAGAGAGAGAGAGAGAGAGAGAGAGAGAGAGAGCGCGAGAGAGAGAGAGAGAGAGAGAGAGAGAGAGAGAGAGAGAGAGAGAGAGAGAGAGAGAGAGAGAGAGAGAGAGAGAGAGAGAGAGAGAGAGAGAGAGAGAGAGAGAGAGAGAGAGAGAGAGAGAGAGAGAGAGAGAGAGAGAGAGAGAGAGAGAGAGAGAGAGAGAGAGAGAGAGAGAGAGAGAGAGAGAGAGAGAGAGAGAGAGAGAGAGAGAGAAATATTTATCAGTGTCTTTGAAAGCCTTTGACAATAGGATTATCAGGCAAGGTATCTACGTTCTCTAGCAAAATTACAAAAACAGCAGTATGCATCACACTGCATTCTGGATTTGTCAACCAACTACTTTTTAATATCATTTTGTATAGTAAATATTTGACCTAGCATTTTTATATTTTTTCTTTTAATAGCCTATCTTTAAATTTTAAAGCAACCTGGCATTATGTTTCTTAACAACTTACCATTTACATTTTTTAACCTAATAATAACATTCTTATATATTTTTAACCTAAAATTGCTTTTTAACAACCTCGCATTTAAATTTTTAACAACCTAGCATTTAAATGTTTAACAATCCCAACATTTTAAAAACTTACCATTTTGCTTGCTAACAAGCTATATACCTGCAAGAGGTAGCAAGGCACAGTAACATATCATGCCCTTAATGACTGTGTCACTAAACGTGATCATCAGCTTTATGTAACAGTGCACGAATGTAAAGGAGTCGGAGAATCACCAAAATAATCTGAAACTCACACGTGTAACTTCATTACTTATGTCTTGCAGGTGTTTTGCAAGTCATGACAATCTTTGTACACATCCTCGTACAGTCGACCAGCAACCAGGTGGCCTGGTCGACGACCGGGCCGCGGGGACGCTAAGCCCCGGAAGCACCTCAAGGTAACCTCAAGGCAAGGTAGGCGTTACTATGCTTACCATTCAGCTCCATAACAAATAATTTACCGAGTCGTCACTCCAATATGTAAGGAATAAGCAACTTACAGAAATCACAGTAACGTGATATATTTCAATGACTAGTGGTAGAGTATGCGGCTTGGCAATGCCGGGGTCGTAGGACCCCCCCCCCCCCCCCCCAACGCCCGCCCATAGCCCTAATGGATGTTCTCGTAAGCAGCTTCCTACTTGGTACAGTCCAAAATCATGTGCGAAAATTCTCTTTGACGGGTAGTAAGTAAAACGTCCGAAACTCTATGCGTGTTAGTGGCTTTGTAAGAATGTAAGAACACCAGTGTTATGTACTTTTACAAACCCTATGTGCCTTCTTATAAATAAATAAATAAATAAATAAATAAATAAATAAATACATAAATATATATAACGAGCGCCACGGGCGATCAAGTAAATGAATGGATGATCCCGTGGACAGCCTCGTCTATAGCTATAGGCCTAAGCGGCTTACCCGACCCCAACAACGGCATGTAGGTGAGTGATGCAATGACGCGCACACACAGATTACAACACAACAAAAGGTTCATATGTGAACTGAATATAACTAACTTACATTTATTAGAGAATTAACATTAAGTCAGTTATAAACTATGACTATTATCATGCTATGTAGACAAATATAACGATACGCTCACGTTTTCAATCTCATTAAAATAAAGGTCGCTTCACACTCATCCCAGAAACAACCAAGAAATGTAATATCAGCAAAGTTGCAACATATTCAACTGAACAGCAGGCAATATATTCAACCGAACATCAGGCAACATATTCAATTAAACGGGTGGTACTGACTACCGACAGATGTGTGAAGGGAATTACTAAAGCAAGACGTGTACAGTACTAAAGTAAGGCCTACACAGTACTAAAGTAAGGCCTACACAGTACTAAAGCAAGGCCTACACAGTACTAAAGTAAGGCCTACACAGTACCAAAGTAAGGCCTACACAGTACTAAAGCAAGGCCTACAAACTGCTAAAGTAAAGCCTACACAGTACTAAAGTAAGGCCTACACAGTGCTAAAGCAAGGCCTACACAGTACTAAAGTAAGGCCTACACAGTGCTAAAGGAAGGCCTACACAGTACTAAAGTAAGGCCTACACAGTACTAAAGTAAGGCCTACACAGTGCTAAAGCAAGGCCTACACAGTACTAAAGTAAGGCCTACACAGTGCTAAAGCAAGGCCTACACAGTACTAAAGTAAGGCCTACACAGTGCTAAAGTAAGGCCTACACAGTACTAAAGTAAGGCCAACACAGTATTAAAGCAAGGCCTACACAGTACTAAAGTAAGGCCTACACAGTACCAAAGCAAGGCCTACACAGTACTAAAGTAAGGCCTACACAGTACTAAAGTAAGACCTACACAGTACTAAAGTAAGGCCTACACAGTACTAAAGCAAGGCCTACACAGTACTAAAGCAAGGCCTACACAGTACTAAAGTAAGGCCTACACAGTACTAAAGTAAGGCCTACACAGTACCAAAGCAAGGCCTACACAGTACTAAAGTAAGACCTACACAGTACTAAAGCAAGGCCAACACAGTACTAGAGTAAGGCCTACACAGTACTAAAGTAAGGCCTACATAGTACTAAAGTAAGGCCTACACAGTACTAAAGCAAGGCCTACATAGTACTAAAGTAAGGCCTACACAGTACTAAAGCAAGGCCTACATAGTACTAAAGTAAGGCCTACACAGTACTAAAGCAAGACCTACACAGTACTAAAGTAAGGCCTACACAGTACTAAAGCAAGACCTGTACAGTGCTACTCAATACATTTCGCTAAATAATGAAAAGTGTTCTTGCTCTTAATATGGCTTCTATTAATACTCAATGATGTATATCGGATTTTTCCTGTTTTTTAGAGAAGACAAAACAGAATAAACATTATTATTTTCAGAGCCGAAAATGGTTTTATGAACTTACAACTTTGTTTCAAAATCCATTTGCTTCAAGATTTATACAAAAAAATCTAAACTTAAAGAAAAACAATATACTATACTGTACTTGACAAAGGCAAAAACTCCAAATGCACTCAACACTTGATACTACAATGCCAACAATCACCAACTGCACTGTTTACGGTCATAAGTAAACAATACTCTTATAACACTTTACTGAAGTAAAACCCTGGTTTGTGCCTCGGAGAGGCTGCAGGATCCAGTAAGTTCAGTAGAACTTCGGTTTCAACTCCTTTTGACCATGTCGTAGCTCAGTCGATTATGGCAGCGTCTTGGATGCTCTCGGACGCAGGTTCGAATCCTCGTCAAGGCCCTTGTGGATTTGTTCACTTTACTAAAGTGTTAAAAGTGTTATTAAATTTGTTCATTTAATACTTTTATAGCTACACTAAATACAGTTGTAACAACACACTTGCTTGTTAGGCATCAATGCAAAAGAAAATTCAATAACGAAAAATTCTATCATCTGTGCAGTTTGAGGAAGGCACACGTCTTTAGCTCGTAACACTGCACTCAAGGAGACTGGTAGCGAAGCCTCAAGCATCACGACACTCTAATAGTCATCAACATGACCATCTGATGTTAATGACTACGATAGCAACCCTAGCTGTAATTTCACCCTAATTACAGCTAGAGTTGTAAGCTTATGATTCTCTTACCTATTAATAAATGTAACTTTAACAAAAACCAAAAAAGTTATGTCAAATATGGCTTTTCAGTAAGAAAGAAATAATTAAACAAAATATATATCGAGCTTCTTTCACTTTAGTCTCCCAATTTTCGCCTCAAGCAGATACAGTATTTGATCTACACTTTGGCGCCGGGGTCAACGGCCTGAGGGTGGGTGTCGAAGACAAGTATCTTCAGTAGCTCACATCACCTGCTTTCTACTGGCTATATATATTTTTTTATGGTAAAAACTCATCAATACGAAAACGAAAATAAAAGCTTTCGGATGAAGGCATGCACACGAACACATACTATCACAACCAATAGTTATAAAACAGGTATAATACATGTCTTATTTCCGTGCGCATGGATTTTTTTAAGATAGTTTTTTTGTAATACATAATGTACAATCGGGATTCAAGATAACACGTTATGTAACCTCTCTCCGGAGCGCAGCTAGTACTTTACTACAGGCAGGTGGCCAGGATGTAACAAAAGAGCAGAGCCTTGTTCTGTGTTTTACTGCGAATGTGAAATAATGGAGGACTGTGGCACGTGTGAAGTAGGATGACACAAGCGAAAACATTAGTTGACTATAAATAAGTGGGCCGAGTGACCCAGGTATTGGCCCGACACCAAAGTTCCTCCTGCGAGCCTCAGCACTCTGGCTTACCCAACACTCGTACCTCTTCATGCCTGTGCCTCTTCCTTGGCGGCACGCACTCGCTCTCTCCTGCTCATAACCTCAAATATTTGGCCCCCCCCCACCCCCTCGGATGGTTATTGAGTCTGTCTTATTTAAATAATTGTAAAGTCATTCACCAGTCATTATGGAATGTTCCGTCAAACGGATATTCATTAGCTCTATACAATAACAAATAACGATATAACAAAACGTCTAAAATAATCTAATCGTTCCATCATAAATATTTTCTAATTTGTATTTTGCCATGTTACACAGCTATGATCTGTTGTCCTTGCAAACGCACAATGACATAGTAACGCTAAAGACAAACTCTAAGCAGCTTTGAAAATGTTATCACAACACAATGGGTTATTTTACCTGTTTTGACGAGTTTGAAGGTGACAGAGTTTTGTGCCTTGAGTGTTTCGTTCGCAGAAGGGTGTGTGAGGTCACGGAAGCTGATTTCGCTTGCCATGACGCTCTTCTGGAGGCCACGAAGCCCCGCCTGACTCTTCACGTTAGCCCCGGCTCCTCGACCTGCTGCTGTCGCCCCACCGGCAGCACTAGGACCAGAACCGGGGAAAAGCGACTGGTCAGAAGCCCTCTGGCTCCCCGAACTGTGGCGGCTACTGCCGCTAGGGTGCCTCTGAGCTGGGGGTCGCCGTGAACTCTGGGGCAGGTACTCCTGCTGAGTTTTCACACTCTCACCAATTGACACCTGCTGCGATTTCGCACTCTCAGCAACAGGCGCCTGTTGTGGTTTTACACTCTCAGCGACGAGTTGCTGAGACTTTGCTATATCAGCAATAGACTGAGGCCTCTGTACGCCACCACTGCTTAGGTACGACCTAAAACTTTCACTTTTAACAATATGGGACCTGAAGCTTTGGCTTCCACTAGTATTTCCACTGTCACGAGAATCCTGCGAATTGTCCCTGCTTCTATGATCTTTAACTCTTAAGCTATTAAATTTCTGGTTAATGGCTGTAGCGATTTCCTGGCTACTGCCGTCAACGTTAAGGTCGTCCCGAGCCTTGAAACTGTTGCTTCGGGTCACCGAGGACTCCCGCGGGGGTCCCGTAGGACTCCCGGCCCACGAGGAGCGGTTGGCCACGTACTTTACTCCAGAGGACGGCGGACTCAGCAGAACTTTGGCCTTAGCACCAGTGGAGGATACAGAAGACGTTTCAGTTGAGGATGATGGTTGCCTCTGCTTAGGCAAGATGTCTGCGTGTTGATGAGGCCGATGTTGTGCTCTAGGCGGTTGCTTCAGTGAACTACTGTGGCTGCTACTGCTACTACTAGGAACACTGCTCGGTAGCTGAGGACTAAGTGGAGAGGGTTGGCTACTAGTGGACGCTTTGGACGGTGTCTTTTGAGAAGTAGTTTTCTGTAGTTTCAGTTGTTGTTGTTGCTGTTGTTGTTGTTGTTGCAGTTTTTGTTGTGGTGGTGTTGGCTTTTGAGGATTAGGGAGCAGCTGATTCAAGGGAGGTTGAAGTTGACTGGGAAGTTGTTGGTTAGGTTGGGAAGGAGGCAAAACTTGCACAGTGTGCCTCTTATGGCTCTGTTGGGCCGACGACGACGATGTCTCACGTTTACTTCCTTTCGCACTATTCAGATCTAACAAGTCGTCCAGGGGGAAAATCACATACATTCTCTCCCTCTGCTAGCCATGATCGCGCGCTAGCAAAGGGGACACGACCGGTACCCGTAGCCAAAGCACACTGAGGAAGACGAGAGGCATTCACCGCCGGGCTGCCTCCCCGGGCCTGCGCGCCAAAAGCGGGGACAGGTAAGCTCACCCACTCTCCTGTTGTCTTACCGCTATCCCACAACCTCCCAGCTCCTGCTTCGACTCTCAGCATCATATTCACGCTCTACATGACCCGCCAGTCAACTACAATAACACACCAATAAACAAAGGAGAGTGAGAGATATAAAGGTGAGGCCAGGAGAGGCGGTTTTATTTCTGGTAGTGCGCGTATAGCAAGTTGGCAGTATGGGTGGGAGTCTCCGGGCCGGGCCGCACACCCCCTCCCTCCCACCTCTAGTGTTTCACCTACCGCTGCCGGGAGAGCACTGCACGCCGCTCCCTCCACAAACATTCTCTTTCACCTCGATTTTCCTGACTATTACCCTCTCTAGAGCTCTCGCTCTGACGCACATCTAATCATTTACATATTACTATATTTTCTTGAGATGCTGTAAATGATTATGCTCCAGAAAAGCGTGGAAACATTCGAGTAATTTGTCTAGAGGTATAAGCTGGCCATTCAGGGATAGAGAGAAGCCTAGTTAATTAACCCCAAGATGAAGTTACGGATAACAGTTTCACAGTGAAACTTTCAAAAACTATAATTATGGTACTAAATTTAACACAAACTAAACGTGAAGTTGTTTTATATATGAAATTGTTCTTTATATTAACTGCAGTTTTAATTTTCCTAAGTAAATCCCCAGCACGTAATAAGACATCATAATGGAATGGGAGAGTGCGAAACCTCGTATATAAGTGTTAAGAGATGCATGGTAAAGTAAGGTAATCATGAGAGCAAAGCGCTAAGCCTTTACAGCACCTGCAAGTGATGCATAGTGTAAGTTGAACCTCTCCTGGTGGGTGCGTCCGTCTGGCAAGTCAAACGTGTGTATGTAGTAAATATTCCATTTTACATTCTCTCCCGAGCTAAGTCATCTTCAGGCGTCTTGGTATTCAGGGTTCCTCTCACTGATATGAAAGTTGCCTAGGAACCTAGGTCCTCTGCTTTTTTAATAAATAATGAATTCGAAATACATATTTGACATAACGATTTTTCTAACAACAATGTAAACCCGTTTGGCGCGTAAAAGTTTTAAGTATCATGTAGCTATGTGGGTTCACTTTGAGTCTGAACCCGTCCTCAACAATCCAATTACATCCCGATTTAAATTTTGTATAACGTTGTTCCACACCTACAGTTCCATGTTGACTGGTACTGAACCAAAACGGTTTTTCTTGATAACACAACGACGAAACCAACTTCGTTAGCTTTCCTCATAGATGACAACAGATATACACCTACGAAAGTTGACAGTTAACGAAACTCACACCCGTAAGCTTTAAGTATGTAAGAATCAGCTTCCCATCAAATTAACCAAATATTTGTATCACTAAGTAACTTGTTTCCGATGACCGAAGTGACTGAGAGGTTAATGTTTCACCAATAAGTAATAATTGACGATCCTTAGATAATACCAAAATACTTTTCATTGGGAAAATATTTTTTTCATTCAGTTCATTCATTCATTTTTTCATTCACTTTTCATTCAGATAATACCAAAATACTTTTCATTTCATTCATTCAAAATACTATATATATATATATATATATATATATATATATATATATATATATATATATATATATATATATATATATATATATATATATATATATATATTTTAGGGGTACCACCTCTGGTGTAACTGTAGGGACCCAAAGCCTCAAAGAGAAAAATAAAGAGTATTCAGAGACGACCTTGTGGGTTCTCACTAAACACTTTAGTCTTTTCATCTCCTACAACCCTTATTTTTTTTAATTTATTTTGTTTTATTTTATTGCATTGCTACAGTTTGCAGAGAACACACACACATATATACAGTATAACAATCAGTGTTCGAAGACCTCGTCCAGTTCGGATATATATATATATATATATATATATATATATATATATATATATATATATATATATATATATATATATATATATATATATATATATATATATATATATAATCAGGTCAATTATCTGAACACAATTTTAACCATATGAAAGGATGAGGATGAGCTGTGTTTCATTCATGTGTATACATGAATTATTTAGCTCTTTCAAACAACATTAATATATTTTTCCCTGAATGAAAATGTGGACGTTGATGTTATATTTATTTCAAGTGATTGTAGCAGTAGTAGCAATTATGGTGGTGGTGGTAGTAGTAGAGGTGGTTGCGGTGATAGTAGTAGTGGTAAAAGCAGTGGTAGTAGTGTTAGTAGTCACATAGGACTGTGGCACAGGACCACTTAGCAGATGTAAACAAAGCAAAAGACAGGAACATTGTGCGCTTGAGATCATATCTCTGTGTGTGGGGCGTGGGATGTGTGGGGGGGGGGGCTGACAATATTGTTACAGGAAAACGATCAAAGACTGAAGCCGTTTATCAACATAAGATTTAATAAAACAAGAAATAAAAATACCATGATAATTAAAAACAGGCTATTCGGTAATTCAAAACTTAATTACTATTCTTCTCACATTATGATTTAAAATAACTTAATATCATAAAGTATTCAACGAAAATGATTGTTATGTGGGAAATGACTCTTGGTTGATGTTTCAAATTGGTCACGTTAGACTTTAAGAACACAAGAGCAAAAATAATAGGGAAACAGCAGAAGCCCTATTGGCCAACATGAGGCCGCTTCTATTTATATCACATAAACTCATATATACTCTTGGAAAAACATACTCTTGAAAAAAAAATCAAGTGACTCCCTTTCTTCAAGTTAAGCCCAGTTTAATTAGACGATGTTAATTTACTTTAGGTTACATGAATCTGACAGTTTAGTTTACATTAAGTTAGCTCAGGTTATGTGAAGTTAACTTGACACATTTCGTTAAATATGATCCCTCTGTTCATCTTGCAGTAAATAAATACCCGTGAGTTAAGCAACTGTTGTGGGATGCATCTTGGGAATGTCAGCAGGTGGTCTTTGAGGACTTGAATAATTCTAGCATCCTGAACCCGACACTGGTGACTAACAACATGAGGGACGCGGGTATATAATAGGACACTAGGAATCAACAACTGGGAGCAATGGGAGAATACAACGCGTTATATTTGCCACACCGTAAGAAATGTTTTCTCAAACCAGAAACCTACGAACCCACCTAACGTATCGAGGCTACTGCATAGAAAACCGCCAACATTACTGTGGTTTACGTTTTTTTAAAACGTCGCATTTTGAACGGAAAGGTCGATTTCGTCAACCAAATTTTATCCATGCATGTTAAACTCTGGTTTACCGGCAAGCACCTAGATGTTTGGTGCTGCTTGGCTAAGGTGCAACTGTAGAGTATCGTGAACATGGGTACCAATGACACGTGTATATCCCACTTCACCCCTTCACCTGACTTTGCACAGTGGAGCGACAACCACCTGAGGCCCGGGTCTGCAGCAACAGGTGACCCCACGCGCGCGCGCGCGAGCGGACACGCACACGCGTCAGTGGTTTCAAAGCGTTATATGACAAAGAGTGCTGGGTAGACGGGACACCACGAGCGTAGCTCTCATCCTGTAACTACACTTAGGTAATTACACACTCTTATGTAAGATCAATTCTGGAGTATTCAGATCCAGCCTGGAGTTCATACCTAGTTAAACACAAGACAAAGTTAGAGAAGATTCCGAGGTATGTCACCAAGCTCGTCCCGGAACTGAGAGGTATGAGCTACGAAGAAAGGCAAAGGGAGCTGAACCTCACATCTCTGGAAAACAGAAGAGTAAGGGAAGACATGATAACCACCTTAAAAATTCTCACTGGAATTGACAGGGTGGACAAAGACAAACTCGTTAGCACGGGTGGAACACGAACAAGGGGGCACGTGTCAGAGTAGTTAACAAATGGAATGCATTAAGTAGTGATGTGGTGGAGGCTGACTCCATACACAGTTTCAAATGTAGATTTGTTAAGAGCCCAATAGGCTCAGGATTGAGCCTATTGGGCTCAATCTTGGGCTTGGGTACACCAGCATAAGAAATATTGCCAGAACAACCGTGGACATCTTCAAGAGGAAACTAGATTTATTCCTCCAAGGAGTGCCGGACCAACCGGGCTGTGGTGGGTATGTGGGCCTGCGGGCCGCTCCAAGCAACAGCCTAGTGGACCAAACTCTCACAAGTCAAGCCTGGCCTCGGGCCGGGCTTGGGGAGTAGAACAACTCCCAGAACCACATCAACCAGGTATCAACCAGTTGATTGAAAGTTGAGAGGCGGGACCAAAGAGCCAGAGCTCAACCCCCGCAAGCATAACTAGGTGAGTACACACACACCGCTATAACAGAGTGGTAGACGGTTGGAACAAGCCAAGTGAGAAGGTGGTGGAGGCCAAACCCGTTAGTAGTTTCAAAGTGTTATACGACAAAGAGTACTGGGAAGACGGGACACCGCGAGCGTAGCTCTCATCCTCTAACTACACTTAGTTAAACAAATTACACACACACACACAGAGTCATCTCTTGAAGCTTGCCTGGGGCTTCAGGTAAGAAGTTCGTAGTACCAGATAATCAACAGCGTCGCTCAGGTACTCAGCCACTCAGATACTGTCAACAGCGTCGCTCAAGAGCTCTGATGTCTAATTATGAATTTAATAGGCCTAAAATGTTACGCTTGCAATTGGCAACTCTTTTTCGTTTAATTTTAAAGAGAAACATTTTTGAAGCCCCTACGTGTCTCATGCCCTCAAGAACGGCCAGCGGCCACTACCCGACCATAGTATTGCATATTGTGTAGGACCTTAATACTCTTAATTATATTGAATCTACTGCGTTCTCTCTCTATGACAAAAAAGTAGACTTTCTCAAGGTGGATGTAGAACACCCGACATCATCAATTCCAGTATTTTTCGCAGCAGATGCAATCATGCAAGCAACCGCAACGATAAAAATATATGAATGCATAAGGCTGTGTCCAGTTGGTAGGAAAAAGTTGT